ATATATATATATAAATATATATATATTCAAATAGTTTCCTTTTTAATATCAGAATATTTTTAATACTTAAAATTCTTGAAACAAGACTGGCAAATGCTCCCATTTCACTCCTACAAACTCCGCAAAAATCCAATCAAGTAAAATTGACAAGATGTTCATAGAAAAAGAATTTTGAAGAAGGCTAATTACTTCTAATGCTAAATACTCATTACTTCTACTTTAAGCACAAATAAATAAGTCAGATTAGCAACTACTACATTAACAAAAATATTTATTTGTTACCCAGCCTGGCCTGAACTTCTGAGCTCCAGTGATCCTTCCACCCCGTCTCTCAAGCACCTGGGATCACAGGTACGCACCATCACCCACATCCGACTAAACAAAACTTTTGTCTTCAAATAAAATCTACCTGTGAATAGCAGAAATAGTAATGTGTGGTGGGGGAGCGCTGGTTCCTCAAGGATGGTGTTCCTTCCTGAGGAAATGAGTCTTCTCCTCACCTTTCTCTACTTCCTGATTCACCTGGCCCTAGAGGGAATGACTGGACTCATGTGGTTGGAAATTTGGGAAGATGAAACAGAGTCATAGCTTCATGGAGCCCCTCTTTCTTTGGGACATAAGCTTTTTTCATAGAAATTCCCACAGTTATGTGAAAGAGAATGTCTACCATTTGCTTACTTTTTTGTTTGTTTTCTTGTGCTCGGATGGAACTCATAGCCTTGCACGTGCCAGGCAAGAGCTCTTCCACTAAAGCTACAGCCCTAATCCTAGCATCTAAACTCTCAGTAAGATACAACATGACAACCTACAGTTTATGCAGAAACAAAACAAAGACAAATTTTTAAAACTACGCTTGAATTATATTACCTCATCACAAATGCTAAGGACATAGCCAGGTAATTTTTTCAATAAGTTCAGCTTGTAAAGTGCAAAATGAAACATATACAATAGTGAATAATTGATAACAAGTCAAATACTCAAACTTAGAAGTTCAATTTGTATTACAAATTGAAAACTAGAAAAGAACATATAAATTGCTAGGTAGATATATGCAACGTCTATTTTAAATTCCTTCTCTATAATAAAAAATGTACTTCTGTGGTTTATTGTAAGTGAAATATAAGACTTGGAACTAAGCATTTTCTTCATGGTACTTTAAAATAAAAACAACAAATGAATAAATAAATAAACTCATGGAAGCTGTAGGTTTTGAGAACTCATCAATATAACTGATCCATGAGCCATTAGTGGGTCATAAAATAAGAAAGCTCAATAAAATAATCATAAATTCACATGTTTATTTAGTTCTGAGACTTAAATGATGAACCTTTGTACCTGGCCATGCCTAGAGACAGCGTCTCACTGAACATGCATGGACACACAAACACACATAAGGTCACACACATAAGGTTTTCTCTCTCTTAGTTGTGGTGTAAACTGACACATACATGTATTCACGGAACATCTATCATGCCTGCTGTCATATGCGTGCTTTAATAGAAAACAGAGAGGTATAATTTAGTTTAATTTTTTAATTAGTTATGTATTTTTATGTATCTTACTGTTTTGTTTTATTTTTAATTTTTTAAAAAATTCTTGACTTCTGAATTTCTTCTGAACATCAGGTCAACCTCATGCCGAAAAGAAAAGTTCAACTTAGGTGGACATATTTCAATCCTTTGTAATTAGATTTCAAGCTTTCTGAAAGTATTTCATCATTATTTAATTCATTTGAAATAAAATAAGGACATGAAATGCAATATTTTCATCCAATCTACAACTTTATTTCTAACTTTGTAATTAAACAAAATATGGAGGATAGTCAAAGTTTTAGACTTGGCCAGGGATTTAGCTCAGTGGTTAACCTACAAGCACAAGGGCCCAAGTTCAATCCCCAGTAAGAAAAAAAAAAGAGAGAAAAGTTTAGTTTTAGACTTTCTCAAATAACAATAATGACATAGAATGGTGGAGCAAGCTTGTAATGCCAGTACTTTAGGAGATTGAGGCAGAAGGATCCCAAGTCTGAGCCTAGCCCGAGCAATGTAGGAAGACCCTGACTCAAAAAGGGCTGAGGATGTAGCTCTGTGTAAAAGCCCTGGGTTCAAACACCATTACCAGAAAAAAAAATCATATAACAATATATTAAACAAATCAGGGTAAAGAATCTGTATTTTAGAAAGCAATGTATTTTTGCAGACTTAAAAATGCCAATGACAAAATATAGTTGGCTCATGTTACAACACTGATTAAATGTGCTGTTTCAGCCTGTCTTCAACTGAAATATTTGTCTATTAACTGTCTTTATTTGAGTTTCTTTTACTTACACCCAGTAGTTTTGCTATCCCTTGTCCTTTTAATCAGTAGATTTTAAGAGGAAAGGAATCTTCCTTTCAATCTAATCTCTTTAAGATTTTGATGCCTTTCTTTGATTCATTTCTAGTTTATGTCTAGAATCCCATATGGGCTATTCCTGGCAGACCCCAAAGAGTCTCACTTCCTCTCTACCTTACCCAAAACTTTCTTCCACTCACATTTTTTAGTTTCATTCAGTCCTACCTATGCCTAAGATACTGGTTTTCTCTACCAGTTGCCAAAAGTCAAAGCCATAATTTCTTTATCCTGAACAGATTTTTGTGTAGTTCTCTATCTGATCTCCCCAATTCCATTTCAATTTATCAATTACCCATGACTAATGAATTAAAAATTAGCTAAAATTTATACCAAATGTATACATAAGCATATTTCTGCATTTATGTTTTCTATCTGTGTTTCATATAAACCTCACCAATTTTCATGACATAATGACATTCTGGACTTTTATATATAAATCGCTGTCCACAGAATTTATTTCCTTGTCTGGGATGGAGAGCATCCTACAGTTTACACACTCTTATTTAGATTTTCTAAATATTCTCCCTTTTTCTAAACTAGTTCAATTATATATTTCATTTAGCCTTCACTCACTTAATTCAGAAGCAGTTTTTAGCTTCATCCTGGGAGTCAGGCAGTACTCTGTGTACTACGAATGCAATGATCATGAGTAGAGAAAACAAGTCCCTGTCTTCATGGAGTTTAAAGTGTCCTTTCCTCTAAAAGGAAAGCCATCTAAGCTCCTTTAAATGTACTTGTTATATTCAATTCATGGATTTATCCTGCTATTTTGCCATTTCCTCATTATGTTCACTCCATTCACACAGACTCTACTCTGCCTAAACAGAGGACTCTTTTTTATCTACATTTGCATTCTGTACCTTTACTTAATAAGGGAACCCATAGAATAAAGGCAAAAAAAAACTGTGCTCTAGTCTTAGCTTTCTACTTACCAGCTTCACAAGCTCAGGCAGGCAAGTCACTCAATTTCTCTGAAACTCAGTTCCTTCATCTGTAAAATTAGAACATGGGCTATGTGAGCAATTTTCAAATTCTACTGTGCAAAATTTTCAGTTTTCAGTGCAATTTCCAAAATATGGCAGGAAGGGGTCTTCTCTCAGAATGCCTCAAATGAAGCCTATATATATTTTTTGAAGGAAACAATTTTAATGTTAAACACTTTTTAAATTATTAAATCCCACAATTCTCCAGTCATGTTTCCCACCTTCACTGCCACCCAAATTGGAGATGGGAAGAAGAAAAGAAAGAAAAAAGAAAAGAGGCCGAGCAGGAAGAGAGGAACGGGGAGAATAGAATAGAAAATGCTTTTGGAGAACAATGCTACATATAAAGAACTATGCTTTCAGCAGCTCTGCAAGATAAGCATCACTCCCGTCTTACACAAAAGAAAATAAAACCCCAAAAGGTTAGATGACTTGCTTGAGGGCTATAATTACAAAGCAGTGAGTCCAAGGTCTGCTCTCCTTCCATTTTCCCAAACTGCCCTTCAAAGAAGCTAACCTTTCATTGCTCCCTTATTGTCCTGACTTAATCCTCACAACTTTGGGGGAACAAATTTTATCATTATTCATATTAAGAAGCCAAGGTTCAGAGGAATGAAATTTACCTCTCCAATGTCAAAGCATCAATAAGGCAAGGATGGAATTAAATACCTGAATTCATGTACTGTGCTGTTTCCACCACACCAAACTGCCTACTTTAAAAGAAAGAAAGAGAAATGAGGAAATGATGAGAGGGAAGGAGGCAAAAGTTATGAGACAGGTGGGAGAATTATAAGAGTCCACTGTTAATACTTCAGAGGGCTATTGGGTTAAATGAGATAATTTATTGGAAAGCACCTTGAAAATATGAAACACTATCAATATAAGGTGTTATTTATTAATTATGCAAATAGGGATCAATGACAATGACATTTTCTGTTTTTGCAAAATTCCATGGGGTAACTGAAAATATAAAACACTCTGTCAGGAATTAATTGCTTAGCCAGCCTACAGAAAGTAATATAAGAGGAGGACAACCTGACACTTTGAGGTTGTGATACAAGAGTATCAAGCTACATATACTTGCCTTCTGTTCATGATATACAGTCACTACAGGCAGTAGAATAATTCAAATTTTCAATTTTTCTTGGATTTCATCACAAACTCTATCAAAAGTGTGAAAGTCTGTATTTTAATATCCTTGCATGATGTGAAAAATAATAGTGTGCTCCACTACCTGAACTCTTAAAGCATTTTTTATTTTGATCGTCTCCCCATTATACTGAGAGACTGTCAGAATTTTATCAGGAATATCATCCAAACAAACATGAACATTATTAAGGTTTCAGCAGTGCTGTAAGTCACTGAATGTTATGAGTGATTAAAAGCTTTGCAGTTGTGACAAGGACCATAAGGAGATCAGACAAAGAAGTTACATATCTTTAAAAGAAGGATAAAAAGAAAAAATAGATTAGAATGAATTAACCCTTTGTATTTCTTTCCAGTGAAAAGGCTGCATCATTATTTGATCAAAATTTAAAGCCTTACGTGACTGGATTCTGTACAGTGAATAAATTCCAAAGGTTGAAAGAGTAGGGAACAAGATTAATATAGAATTATAATCATCACCTTGACACAGTACCAGGATTAAGAAAATTACATTTAATATAACAATATTCCCTGGTTTCAGTAAAACATTACCTATTTTGTAATTTCTATTGACTATAATTATACTTTCTAGGTTCACTAAATTATTTTGAATTTAGAAATATATTCCCATTTTACCCAATTCACAAATCTATTAATTAAAAGATTCCCTTTTGCCAGGCATTGCAAACAGGATGTAAACTGAGAAAACAATGCTCGTGCATGACCTAAAGTGGAAAAGAAATAGTTAAATTAACTTTTACAATAGAATATAATTGAATGATTATACACAGTTTATTATTGAATGAAATGATCTTACCTTCCAAATAAAAATACATAGTACCAAAATATTGACTATATTCTCATAAGCAAAGGAAAACTCATTACTACCGACATTTTCTTTTGTCTTAAGTATCATCTGAATTTTCAAATATCTTTTAATAGTTTTATAATCGAAAATAAAGAAGCAATGAAGTAACTTTTTTTTGGCACTAGGCAGCCATCCCAGGTTTCACACTTCCTAGACAGGCACTCTACGGCACTGAGCTACATCCCCGGTCTCTATGACCAGGAGAAATATATTTTTCTAGGGTTTGTTGTGCAAAACACCCCAAGAGAAGTCCACTGACTGGATGAGAGTCACAAAACGCCCAAAAGCAAAGGTTACAGTTGATCTGGGCTTTAGAAGATGAACTGAAATTTACAGGAGAAGACGACACTGGGCAACATCAAAGATAGTAAGGAGCAAACTATGCATGAGCATATCATGTAACGGAGTTGTGGGAAAGGAAGACAGAAGCTGGCGGCCCCCGAAGAGAGAAAACAATGGGCCACACTGGAAAAGGTTTTAGATGCCATCTAAAGATATTTGAATTTTATTCTGTCGTCAACAGAAAGCCAGAACTCAGCAGTCGAAGCCTCTAACCGTGAAGAGATTTGTAATGTTTAGTTAGAACCAACAGTCTATGTTCACTAACTATATGTAAGGATGGGAAAGACAAAATTAAAGGAGGATAGGGATGGGGATTTAGCTCAGTGGTTCGGCCCGCTGCCTGCCTCTGAAGCGCAAGGACGGGAGTTTGATCCCCGGTACCAAAAAAAAATAAAAATAAAATAAAGGAAGATAATTCAGGGAGACTTGATGATGAGAAGTTTAAGGGGCAACAGGTTTGGGGTAAACAGAGAATCAGTAAAATGACTGATGCATATTGAGAATCAGCTGCTTGTGGAATATCTAGGGGTCTGGCAGAAGAAAGACGATGGTCTTTTCCCTTCTGTTTTACACCACTATTATGATCAGGTAACTTACAATAAAGCATAAATAAGTGAATAAATAACCTCATTCATTTACCAGGTGAAACTCTTTTTTAAAAAAAGTTTGAGGAAGTTTCTGATTGTGGCAAAACAAACAAAAAACAATGTGAACCAAGAATATTCACACCTGTATTCACATACTTTCCTTCTAATATAGCTTGGATTATTGTTCCAATTATTCACTTCCTTGTGCTAGGATTATGTACCACACCCTGTGCTGTGTCACGTTATAGTACCTCCTGCCACGGGTGGACTCCACTTCCCCATGCCTCTACACTCGAAACTGCTCTGACAAAAGGAACGCTAGTGAATATGAGGTAATTACTTGCACGGGCTGGTTTGCCCTCTGCAGCAAATAAGATCGCCGGTGTTTCCACCTCAGACCTGAAACCCCATCCGAAGTCTGCAATATAACTTTGATCCCAAACAGCCTATTCCAAATCAACTGAATCAAAACATTGTGACTCTAAAAAATAAAACACAGTAAGACCCTGAAATGTTTCTTTTTTAAAATACAGCATTATTATAGCAACAGCTGACTGATATAATTTTTTCACAATAAAGTTTTTTTTTTTAATGACTGTGATTTTCCTATAAAGTCATGATCAACTCATCTTAAATTCCTTTCTAGATTATAGGAAGGTGATAAGGCTGCCGTATTAGGAAGAAACTATACAGAAATAAATTACACAGGGAAAAAAGTGAAAAGCAAGGATTGTCCAAATACCTGTTGCAATGAAATTCTTCAAATCAATTTTATATTCGTGAAAGTTCATAAAATGTACGGAAGCACAGTTCTTGAGAAATTCTTGTCATCTCTGCAGAACTTTAAATCTTGAAAAAAGGGCAAAGAACAAAGGATCCCTAGCAGGGGCAGTATTTATCTGATAGATTAGAAGCCAAAGAGAAAGACTCAAAAGAAATAGCCATAGTGATAGATAAATGATAGGAGAATCTATAGTATAATATAAAATTAAATGCAGGAAAGAGTACAAGAGAATTGAATATTAAAATGCTATTCCTCTTCAACTATCATTTCCCCTACAGCACCTAGCCAAAACACATAATTCACAACAGGAAAAGATATACTTATCATATATGTGGCTATCTATATATATATATGACATCATTTATGATAACAAAAGGAATTAACCTATAGCAGTGGTTCTTAAAATTAAATGTGACAACAAATCATCTAGATTCTAAACCATTTGCTACTAATGCTGATCCCACCAAGTCTACAGCAGTAAGAAAGATTTGCTGGCCTGGGTTGGGACTCAAAAGTTTTCTTTTTAAAATGCACAGCAATGTATCTGTTGAAACTGATCTGTGAATGACTTCTGGTGTGTAAAAGAAAAGAAAAAAAATGAAGATTGAAAGAAATTGTGATCTCAATGTGTTGCTTCCTTATACCCAACTTCAAGCCAGGCATAGTAATACATGCCTGTAATGCCAGCACTCTAGGATGCTGAGGCAGAAGGATTGGAAATTCAGGACCAACATGGACAACTTATTAGACAACTTAATGAATGGGCTGGGGATTTAGCTCAGTGCTTCCTCTGTCTGCCTCACAAGTGCAAGGACCTGAGTCCGATCCCTGGTACCAAAAAAAAAAAAAAGTAGGGACAATAGACAACTTAATTACTTAACAAGACCCTGTCTCAAAAAACTAAGTAAATAAAAGGGCTGAGGATAACATTCAATGAAGGCCCTGGATCTAATACCCAGTACTACCAAAAAAGTGAAAAAAAAAATTCAGAGAAGACCCAGTGCATGCTGGATATTAACAGGCTCCAGATGTGGCCATCCAGTAAAATGAAGCACAGCTGAAGGATGGTTGAGGGGAAGAATATTTTGGTAAAATGTGCGGCACATAGTAAGCACTCATACATTTCTTTTTTTTTTTTTTTTTTTCTTGTACTGGGGATTGAACTTGGGTCCTTCTGCTTGCAAGGCAGGCGCTGGAACCACTGATACATTTCTTGAATACACAAAAGCATGCTTTAGTAAAGAAACTGTCTTAGAGAAATATGTGAGTTTCTTGCAGAGC